CAAAAAACACTCCGATCTTTTTGGGCTATTGCCCGAAACGTCGCCCTTTTTTTTTTCAAGCACAGAGCTGGTGATGGGGGTGAGGAGGAAGCCACGGGTGACCGAAACGGAAGGGTTAATCAATAACACAACTTAGTAACACTGCAGTCAATCATACTTATACATTGTGATGATTCACAGAATCGATTATGCTGTAATTGGTGGTGATGATGGTGGTGGTGGTAGTCGTGATGATGATAATGGTGATAATGGTGTTGATGGTGCGTTGCCGCTATGATCATAGTCATTATGACGCCTTGTTGATGATCGTGATGCTGCTGGCAACACATTCCTGCGGAAGGAGCTGGTAGGAACGTTGGGTTACTCGGTCAATGGCCAGGGTCAACGGCGGCGTGGTGTATTCCGCAAATATGCCTGACTATGAGGGCGGGCACAAGCCGGCGTGAGTAGGTTAAAAGTTGAGTTTTATAAGGGTACCACGGGGTGAGCAGCCCCTCCCCACCCAGCCCCACCCCTCCCACCCCCCACCCAGTCCCACCCCTCCAACCCAGCCCCTCCCCACCCTCCCCACCCAGCCCCTCAAGCCCCACCCTCCCCACCCAGCCCCTCCCCATCCTCCCCTCCCCACCCAGCCCCTCCCTCCCACCCAGCCCTCCCTGCACGACGGACACAATAATCCCCTGTGGGCTGGTGTAACCAGGAGGTTCCTACCAGTATATTGCAGCTATATTAGTAATTATGATTCTGCTGATATGACACTGGTGTATGTGTTGATGAGGGTAGTGATAGTGCTATGTTTGTGATTATTCCGTATTGATGACTAATGGGAGTGATGCTGCTAATACGATGATCGTGATGATGCTCTGTCGATGATGATGATGGTAGTAGCAGTGACAATGCTGTGTTGATGGTAGTGATGATGATGATAATGTTACTGTTATGATGATTGTGATGACGATACGTTTATGATGAGGATGGTACTGAAGCTGCTGATATGATGATCGTGATGATGCTCTGTCGATGATGATGGTAGTCGCAGTGCCAATGCTGCGTTGATGATGGCAGTGATGCTGCTGATATAATGATGATGATAGCGATGATGTGTTGAAGGTTGTGATGTTACTGCTATGATGATTGTGATGAAGATGCGTTGATGATGATGGTAGCAATACTGCTGATATGATGATCGTGATGATGCTCTGTTGATGATGATGGTAGTCGCAGTGCCAATGCTGCGTTGATGATGGCAGTGATGCTGCTGATATAATGATGATGATAGCGATGATGTGTTGAAGGTTGTGATGTTACTGCTATGATGATTGTGATGAAGATGCGTTGATGATGATGGTAGCAATACTGCTGATATGATGATCGTGATGATGCTCTGTTGATGATTATGGTAGTCGCAGTGCCAATGCTGCGTTGATGATGGCAGTGATGCTGCTGATATAATGATGATGATGATAGCGATGATGTGTTGAAGGTTGTGATGTTACTGCTATGATGATTGCGATAACGATGCGTTGATGATGATGGTAGCAATACTGCTGATATGATGATCGTGATGATGCTCTGTTGATGATGATGGTAGTCGCAGTGCCAATGCTGCGTTGATGATGGCAGTGATGCTGCTGATATAATGATGATGATAGCGATGATGTGTTGAAGGTTGTGATGTTACTGCTATGATGATTGTGATAACGATGCGTTGATGATGATGGTAGCAATACTGCTGATATGATGATCGTGATGATGCTCTGTTGATGATGATGATGGTAGTAGCAGTGACAATGCTGTGTTGATGGTAGTGATGATGATGATAATGTTACTGTTATGATGATTGTGATGACGATACGTTTATGATGAGGATGGTACTGAAGCTGCTGATATGATGATCGTGATGATGCTCTGTCGATGATGATGGTAGTCGCAGTGCCAATGCTGCGTTGATGATGGCAGTGATGCTGCTGATATAATGATGATGATAGCGATGATGTGTTGAAGGTTGTGATGTTACTGCTATGATGATTGTGATGAAGATGCGTTGATGATGATGGTAGCAATACTGCTGATATGATGATCGTGATGATGCTCTGTTGATGATGATGGTAGTCGCAGTGCCAATGCTGCGTTGATGATGGCAGTGATGCTGCTGATATAATGATGATGATAGCGATGATGTGTTGAAGGTTGTGATGTTACTGCTATGATGATTGTGATGAAGATGCGTTGATGATGATGGTAGCAATACTGCTGATATGATGATCGTGATGATGCTCTGTTGATGATGATGGTAGTCGCAGTGCCAATGCTGCGTTGATGATGGCAGTGATGCTGCTGATATAATGATGATGATGATAGCGATGATGTGTTGAAGGTTGTGATGTTACTGCTATGATGATTGCGATAACGATGCGTTGATGATGATGGTAGCAATACTGCCGATATGATGATCGTGATGATGCTCTGTTGATGATGATGGTAGTCGCAGTGCCAATGCTGCGTTGATGATGGCAGTGATGCTGCTGATATAATGATGATGATAGCGATGATGTGTTGAAGGTTGTGATGTTACTGCTATGATGATTGTGATGAAGATGCGTTGATGATGATGGTAGCAATACTGCTGATATGATGATCGTGATGATGCTCTGTTGATGATGATGGTAGTCGCAGTGCCAATGCTGCGTTGATGATCGCAGTGATGCTGCTGATATAATGATGATGATGATAGCGATGATGTGTTGAAGGTTGTGATGTTACTGCTATGATGATTGCGATAACGATGCGTTGATGATGATGGCAGCAATACTGCTGATATGATGACAGTGATGATGATGATGGTAAGGGTGATCGTGTTGAGGGCTGGACGCATCACCCGGCCCGGATCGCGCAGTCACTGGAGCGGAGTGCGAGTCGTGACCAGTGGCTCCACGGGGTAGGAACGGGGGAACTCGGTGTACAAAGGGGGTGGGGTGTGCACGTGTGTACACAGGTGAATTCTAGATTTGAAGCTTTCGTGACTGCAAGGATTCATATTCTTAGGTTTTTTTCGGTAAAGTCACGTAGGTAAAAAAATTTAAAATGAAAATTAATAAAAGTAAAATAAAAAATAAAATAAAAATCACGACGTTTCGGAGGCAACACAAGCTTCACCTGAAGACGGAAGCTTGTGTTGCCTCCGAAACGTCGTGATTTTCATTTTATTTTACTTTTATTAATTTAAATTTAAATATTTTACCTACGTGACTTTACCGAAAAAAACCTAAGAACACAGGTGAATGTTCACGGTGTGTATGTCATTACAGGTGTGTGTGTGTGTGTGTAGGAGTGTGTACATCACCACTGGGGAGACAAAGGCGGCCGGGCGTGGTGCTGGCCACCCACCCCCTCGTGTGCCGTGCCGGCCGTCATAGGTGCTGCTCGCTAACAGCACTTGCCCCGACAGTCTGTTAACGCTATAGGGGTGATCTTCACGTTTGTACGTGTGCGTATGAGATGGTACACATAGCTGGGTGTACACCAATCTGTGTGTACCCGCATGTGCACACACACACACCCGCGCGTACACACACACACACTCACGTTTACACACACACACGTGTACACAGGCTCGGATGTACACACACGTGTACACATCCCTAGGTGTATACACACACACGTGTACACACCCTCGGATGTACACACACATACATACGTGTATACATCCCCGGTCTACATATACACACACACGTGTACACACTCACGTGTACACACACACGTGTACACAGCCTCGGATGTACACACACGTGTATACATTCCTGGGTGTATATACACACACACACACACTGTGTACACACACATTCACGTGTACACACACACACGTGCACACATTCCTGGGTGTATACACACACGTGTACACACACACTCACGTGTACACACACACGTGTACACAGCCTCGGATGTACACACACGTGTACACATCCCTGGGTGTATACACACACACGTGTACACACACACACGTGTACACACACGTGTACACAGCCTCGGATGTACACACACGTGTACACATTCCTGGGTGTATACACACACACGTGTACACACACACACACACGTGTACACACACACACGTGTACACAGCCTCGGATGTACACACACGTGTACACATCCCTGGGTGTATATACACACACGTGTACACACACACACACGTGTACACACACACACGTGTACACAGCCTCGGATGTACACACACGTGTACACATCCCTGGGTGTATACACACACGTGTACACACACACACGTGTACACACACACGTGTACACAGCCTCGGATGTACACACACGTGTACACATTCCTGGGTGTATACACACACACGTGTACACACACACGTGTACACACACACACGTGTACACAGCCTCGGATGTACACACACGTGTACACATCCCTGGGTGTATATACACACACGTGTACACACACACACGTGTACACACACACACGTGTACACACACACACGTGTACACAGCCTCGGATGTACACACACGTGTACACATCCCTGGGTGTATATACACACACGTGTACACACACACACGTGTACACACACACACACGTGTACACAGCCTCGGATGTACACACACGTGTACACACACACTCACGTGTACATACACACACGTGTACACACACACGTGTACACACACACACGTGTACACAGCCTCGGATGTACACACACGTGTACACACACACTCACGTGTACACACACACACACACGTGTACACACACGTGTACACACACACACTCACGTGTACACACACACACGTGTACACACACACACGTGTGCACACACACACACGCACCGCGTGCTGCAGTCGTGTTATTTTCATTGCTTCGCTCTCTCTCCTCCGTCTGGCTCCGCGGGTGGTCGCCAAGGCAACCGCGCGATGAGCGTTTCCCTGGCGACGAGGCGCGCGGATGCTGGTCTGCGGGTCACGTGACCCCCCCCCATCCTCACCACCATCACCACCCCAGCACTCCTCCTCCTCCCACCTCACCGTCTCCCTCCCCATCCATCGCCATCCCTCCCTTCCTCTCTCTGCACACACGGCGCACACACACAGCGCGCTCTCTCACGACACACTCCGTGCGGATGTTCATCGGAGACGAGCGCACAACGCAGCCAACACCACCACCAACACCACCAACACCACCGCCACCAACACCACCACCGCCACAGACGGTGGTTGTTGTGACGGCGTCTGCACGGTGTGTATGCTACAAACCTCGGGGGGGGGGGGGGGGGGGGGGACATTTGATGTTTGGATAATTTAACAACCAAAAAAAATAACGAATTTCATTGTCGATTAGAATTATACATCGATCTGTTTTTTTGAGTTCGTCTTCATGATTTCTGTATTTTTTTTAGACGTTGCGGTTTCTGTGTTGCACGGATGCAGTTGTCAATAACCACTATAGCAATTTAAATGTATCCTGCATCATCATCATCATCAGCAGCGTGAGCCTTGATCTATCCACTGTTGAATGAAGTACTCCTCACCCCCCTGCTGCTCCCTCTTACGATCCATCTATCGATCCATCCTGAACCCCTTCACACACTCCATCTCCACGGGGGACGTACCCTCTCTCTCTCTCGTTCGCGTGGCTCCACATCTCCTTTGGCCGCCGTCGTCAGCACATTTAAAAAAACAATTTGTGTGTGTGGATTTGCTCTCCAACACACAAACCCGCCGTGTGCTCCACTAGTAACTGACTGGCACGTTCCGTTTACGTGACACACCTTAACGAATTGTCGGGTGGTGGCGAGTTTGACGACACACAAAAAAACCACCTCTACTACGGACGATGACATTGCTCGCGAAAGACACCGACGCGTTACACTGACACCGACAATTCTTCACCGTTCGCGTTTTGCGCTAGGCGGAGGTGGCGATTGTATTGGGGGGGAGATGCCTTCATCCAGCAGTGGATTGCACATGACTGATGGTCATTATTCATTTCTCTCCCCCCTCTTCCTCCTCCTACCCCCGTCTCAACTCCAGCCAGACGACGCCTCCATCGCCTCCCCCCCCGCCACGTCTCAGGGCGACGTGTCTAAGTTCAGTACAACGGCGTGGAGAGACGCACACGAGGAGCGATACGCAGCAGACACGAGGTGAGAGAGAGAGAGAGAGCGAGCGCCCTTGATGGCTTCCGTTCATCTTCAAAGGACCGTAAATACTAATCATACATATGGGGGGGTGAGCGAGCGGTGGCGCAGTGGTTAGCGCGCTGTGCTCTAAGAATCCCTGCCACAACATTCGTTCGATTCCCAACACGCAGCGGTTAATCTCTCCCCCCGCGTCCACCCTTCACGAACCCGCACTGACCAGCGCGGTGAAGTATGGTCAAACAACACCCTCCCCCCCCCAGCCCCCCATCCCATTCATCCCATGAGCGACACACACGGCGTAGGGGGGGGGGGCTTTAAATACCCGTCGGCCCCGTGAACGAAGCATCCGGGAAGCTAAGCAGGTAAGAGCCTGGATCGCGATTGGGTGGGTGACTACCACCGTGCAAAGGCAAAGATCCCCCGTATAGCCTCAACAGACTGGAGGGGCAAGTGCTATTGTAGCACCTATGAAGGCCGGCACGGCACACGAGGGGTGGGTGGCCAGCACCACGCCCCGGGCGCCTTTGTCTCCCCAGTGACGATGTTTACTACACACCGCACCAGGTACTCATTTTGAGGCTGAGTCGACCTAGGGGAGGCCCAGGACCGGTTCAGATAATCGTCACTGGGTGTTGGCCGTGTGCGGGAATCGAATTCGGGTCGCCGGGTTCGTAGCGCAGCGTAGCGCTAACCGCTACACCACCGCTCCCCACCTACCACCGTGCACCACAGGTGTTGCAGGCGTATTCCAGGCAGTGCCGTGGCGGTCAGCAGAGGGCAGTGCGGCCGAAATTCAATTGTTGTGTTGTACTTCTATGTTTCCGCACCTGCGATCTGTTGCCAGATAGAATGGTAAAAACAAATTATCATATTTTTTACTGGCAAATGAGGTTTCAATGGTGTAAATGCTTACCCTGAGCTCTCATACTCTGATGGTGCATTGTCTTTGAGTTGTGCGCATTTTGGCGTCATCTGGTCCAACCCATGTGAGACTAGGCTCTGAGGAAAGCTGTCTCGGGTGTGGACCAATCAACTTCAAGGACAGTGCATACATTATCAGAGTTATGTTTTTTGTTTGCATTATGGCTGCAGGTATTGTGGTCTATGCAAACATGACTCCTTGTAAAAAAAAAAAGGTGTCAGTTTTGTTGCCAGATAGAAGGGTAAAAAACAATTATCGTCTTCACCTTGTTAACCATACGAGGGTCAGGTGAGACGGTCAAGTTTGCCGGGCACGGCGATGACATCAGTTACTCGGGGCACGCACGACACCGGCTGACAACCGGCGTGGTGAAGTATGGCTGTGAGCAAACGGCCCACGAGCGACAAGGCGAAGTAAACTGCCCCTCGGTTCAACCAGCGGTGGATTGTAGGCGGCACTGGTGCAGTACAGGGCGGGGGTATGGAACATCGATTCTGATAATCATGATAACAATACCGATGAAGTATTAGATCCTCAAAGATGCATCGCACACACACATTGATGGCACTGGCCACGGCCCAGCGAGTGCTGTGCTTACGCACCTGCCTAGCCTCTAGCCCAGTGGCTCTTCACCTGGGGTGGCACGCACCCTCTGGGGTTGCGAGATGCCCTTTCTGTGCGTGCGAGACACGGACGGATTTTTTTTTATATATAGAAGGTAAATTATCGACACAAAAATTAATCACGGACACGTTAAGTTACAACTTACTTTAATAATAAGGGTTTTCCCCCTTTTTTTCTGGCAACAAAACTGAAACCTTTTTTTATAAGGAATCATGTGCGCATTAACCACAATACTTGTGGTCTAAATGCAACCAAAAACACACTGATAATATATCCATTGTCCTTGAAACTGATTGGTCCACACCAGAGACGGCTTTCGTTGTTAACGACTGAGTAGCAAAGGGGTCCAAGGCTGCAGTGAAAGGTGAAGAACCACTGCTCTCGATGGTGTTTTGGCCTACTCCTCCATCGTTGGCCAGGCGCCTGAGGGGCGACGGTGGGAAAGGTGTGGGGGAGGTGGAGTGGCGGAGGTGGGGGCATTTTTTTTTAAGGAAATAGCCATATTCTTTGGTTCTTTATGTAAATTATAGATTTGAAGCTTGCGTGACTGCAAGGATTCATATTCTTAGGTTTTTTCGCTAAAGTCACGTAGGTTAAAAATGTAAATTTAAATTAATAAAATTAAAATAAAATAAAACCGTCACAGCACGATTGCTGTAATCTTACTTGATACAGCTATCGTGCTGTGACGGTTCCACCTGAAGACGGAAGCTTGTGTTGCCTCCGAAACGTCGTGATTTTTATTTTATTTTTATTTTATTAATTGTAATGTTTTACCTACGTGACTTTACCGAAAAAACCTAAAAATATCTTTCGGTAAAGTCGCGTAGATATTAAAATAAAAATAAGTGAATAAAAAAAATGAAATGAAAATAATTGAAAAACAAAAAAACACGAATGTAGACTGTAGCCTGGTTCTTAATCGGAGTGAGGATACTGACAGTCTATAATGTAGACTGTAGCCTGGTTATTAAGCTGGGTGAGTGTACTGGCAGTCTATAATATAGACTATAGCCTGGTTATTGAGTTTGGTGAGTGTACTGGCAGTGTATAATATAGGACTGTAGCCTGGTTCTTAATCTTGTGAGCGTACTGACTGGCAATCTGTAATGTAGACCGTAGCTTGGTTATTAAGCTGGGTGAGTGTACTGGCAATCTATAACGTAGACTGTAGCCTGGTTATTAAGCTGGGTGAGTGTACTGGCAATCTATAACGTAGACTGTAACCTGGTTATTAAGCTGGGTGAGTGTACTGGCAGTCTATAATGTCGACTGTAGCCTGGTTCTTAATCTCGGTGAGCGTACTGGCAATCTATAACGTAGACTGTAGCCTGGTTCTTAATCTCGGTGAGCGTACTGGCAATCTATAACGTAGATTGTAGCCTGGTTATTAAGCTGGGTGAGCGTACTGGCAATCTATAACGTAGACTGTAGCAATGGTTATTAATCTCGGTGAGCGTACTGGCAATCTATAACGTAGACTGTAGCAATGGTTATTAATCTCGGTGAGCGTACTGGCAATCTATAACGTAGACTGTAGCCTGGTTTTTAAGCTTAAATGCCAATTCTATAAAACTGTCAGCTGCCGCGCTCCGGGAGAACGATGGACGCAGGTCGCTAAGCGCTCTCGCAGGGTCCTCCTGCGAATGAGCGTCAAGACTCAGCGGTCAGCGGTGTTCGGAGGGTGTTGTCATGATCGGGTGAGTGTTGCTTGGAATGAATGAATGAATGTAGAACGCAAGCGAATCGGATATAGAGGAATGATTTGGTCCAGAATGATCTCACGGGTGTTATCAGAACCTCTTGTGCAGTACTCGGAAAGCCACACGGTACGAGATAGACACGACGGGGGGGAGGGTGTGATGTACTGTACATGTCGCACACACAAAGTTCCCCCATATAGCCTTCAGGGGCAAGTGCTGTCCGCGAGAAGCACCTATGAAGGCCGGCACGACGCACGAGGGGGTGGGTGGCCAGCACCACGCCCGGCCGCCTTTGTCTGCCAAGTGGTGATGTTTACACACCCACGCCGGGTACTCATTTTGAGGCTGAGTCGATCCAGGGAAGGACTAGGACCGGTTCAGATAATCGCCACCGGTGTTGGCCGTGAGCCAGAAGCGAGCTCGGGTCGCGGGTTCGACTGCGCAGCGCACTGATCGCTGCGCAAATGTTCCCCGCTACAAAGACAAAGATCCCCCGTATAGTCTTAACAGATTTAAATTTCGATTTAAAGCTTTCGTGACTGCAGGGATTCATCTTCTTGGTTCTTTCGGTAAAGTCACGTAGAAGGGAAATAATAACATAATAAAAATGAAACGTAATAAAATAATTCTCACGACGTTTCGGCCACAACGCAATCAGCCGTCCTCAGGTGAAGACCAGGTCTGTCGGGGAGACAGCGTCTGAATGAAACACCACCACGCTTGGAGCGTATATTTAAGCTGGGTTGGAAGGGGGGAAGGGCGCCTTGACAAAAAAATTGCATATCAAGAGGAATTTAGCATATTTATGGGAAATGCAGGTATGTAATTAGTACTACGCCTTAACAGACTTTTGGGGCAAGTGCCATTAGCGTGGCACCTATGAAGGCCGGCACGGCACACGAGGGGGTGGGTGGCCACGCACATACACATCCAGACACACAAGAGTGGGAGATAATTATTGAATCAGCTTGTGAATTAGAAGAATCTATCCGTTTATCAGTGACGCATGTGTAAAGTGAGACAGGAGAGACGCGGAGAGAGAGAGAGATGGGGAGACATAGTCATGGAGACAGAGAGAGCGATATCCGTGTATAAAGTGTGTGTGTCTGTACCCTTATCGGTCGGGAGCGGTGGTACAGTGGTTGGCACGCTGCGCTACGAACCTGGTTCGATTCTCGCTCCCGATATTCGTCGCAATAAGAGTGACGATTTTCTAAACCGGTTCTGGGTCTCCCCTTAGGTCGACTCAGCCTCAAATGAGTGCCTGGTGCAATGTGTAAACATTGCCACTGCAGTGGCGTGGTTGGCCACCCACCCACTCGTGTGCCGTCGTTGATAGGTGCTCGCTCATAACACTTGCCCCAAAAGTCTGTTAAAGCTATACGGGGGGTCTTTGTCTTGTAGTAGACGTAAAACATAAAAACTTAAATATTTTAACGTTTTTTTATTTTACCAAGTAAAGCCCAACTCAGAAGCGACCTGGCCACAAATGATAACTCAACGAAGTGGCTTATCACGTGGAAAATACTTAAATGTGGAGGGAAAAACCGGAGGACCCAGAAAAAATCCAAACGACCACGGGGAGAGAAACACGCAAACTCCAAATATACAACAGCGGGCGTCAGGGTCGGGATCGAACCCACGACCTCCTGTAGACCACGCGAGGTAGTTAACATCTCTTAGCCACCGTGATGATGATGAGTGAGAGAGACACGCAAACTCCAAATATACAGCAGGCGTCAGTCAGGATCGAACCCACGACCATCCTGTATACCAGGCGAGGTTGTTAACATCTCGCCACGGTGGCGCTGTATCTCTTTCAGTGCAGAGACGGTGAAACAGATACGTAGAGATAGAGACAGAAAGACAGAGACGGGCAGATACAGGCAACCAAGAGATAACGACCCCGACAGAAATGATGACTTAGCACGGAGGCTTTCGCGACCAATAATATCCATAACAAATCTGGCTCTCGCCTGATTTTGTAAGTTGTGATTGCTGGCGAAACGTCGTACTCGAATTCTAAATGTTGTGCGTTTACTCTCCAACACATCGGTGTGCTGTACTAGTAACTAATTGGCATGTTTTTTTGACGTGACAAGCCTTAACTAATTGGCTGTGTCGGATGGTGGCGGGTTTAACAACACATTTATATTTACGCGATTTAACCCCCAAAAAAAACCCTCTATTATGGAGAGATGATTATCATTCCGCTTGTTGACCCAGCAAAGTTTCACTGAGTCTTATGACTCTTTTTCAGGAGGGTCCTGCCAGGCTCACGCAGAAGGGGGTGATGTTGATTGCTGCTGCTGCTGTGTGATTTTCTGAACCGGTCCTAGGCCCCTCCTACTGTAGGTCGACTCAGCCTCAAATGGGTACCTGGTACCGGCGTGGTTTTGGCCACACCACCTACAGCACCTCCTCATGTGCCGTGCCGGCCTTCATAGGTGCTCCTCGCTAACAGCACTTATCCTAACCGTCTCTTCAGGCTATAGGGGGGATCTTTGCCTTTGCTATCATTACACACAAAGTGCTTGACACAAAGGAACCACAATACCATGCTGATCTCGTCAAGCAGCATAAACCATCACGCGAACTACGGTGGTCATCCTCGTAGCAGCGGCTTTTCGCTGCGAGCCATCGAACAAAGACGGTCACTCCTTCGCGCGGCGCTTTCAGATGCACTTCTGCGGCCGTCTGGAACGCTCTTCCTTCCGATATTAGGAAGCCACTGGAGCTATGCAATTTTAAATCATCATCTAGTTTGACAAACTAATTTCTTTAGAACTGCTTCTTGTTGTGTTTAGTGGTGTTGTCCTTCCTCCGCACCTCCGATTAGCACGGTTGGCTACGTACGGTGCAAAAGAAGTCCAACATATTCTTAGGTTTTTTCGGTAAAGTCACGTAGGTACCTACGTGACTTTACCGAAAAAACCTAAGAATATGAATCCTTGCAGTCACGAAAGCTTCAAATCTAGAAGTTCAACATACTTGCATACATTGAGTCATTTTAGAGATATATAGACAGAGACGGGCAGCATCAAAGAGAGCGAGACGAACACAGAGGCAGGCAGGCAGAAACAGACACGAGTAGAGACAGACACAAACAGACGGAGGTTTTGTGGGTGGGGGGGGGTGATGTCGTCAAACTCTGTGGGTGGGACGAGACTGGGCATAGGCAGGGAGAAATACAAAGGTTTCATCTTCTTGGTTCTTTCGGTAAAGTCACGTAGAAGGGAAGTAATACATTATTATATTATTATATTATTTTAGTATGTTTTATTTTTATTGTTTTTTTATTTTATTACTTCCCTTCTACGTGACTTTACCGAAAGAACCAAGAAGATGAATCCCTGCAGTCACGAAAGCTTTAAATCGAAAACAAAATACAAAGGTGGCGAGGAGGAGAGAGTGAAGAGAGAGGGGAGAGATGGGGGAGGCGAGAGAGAGGTAAACTCGGTGAGCGGTAATGCTGTAATGAGAATAGTTAACGGAGCGTTGGAAATCGGGTTTCTAGCGCAGTGTGCTCACTGCTGCGCCACCGCTCCCACCACCTACCCCACCCACCATATCGCGGTGACCTTCACGATGATGGATCGTTTGCGGTCAGCGATGGTGTCGATGTTGATGGCAGTAACACTGGCGATGTCAACGATGATGATGATGATGAAGAATGTATGATGATGTCAACGATGGTGTTAATGATGGCAATTTAACTTTGATGGTGATAATGATCAGTGCCGGATTATCCTAGTTGCACAAGTAGCTACAAATGCTACGGGCCGCGCACTTTCAAGCTATCAATTCCGGTTCAGTGATTCTGCACTTGCTCTATTACTATAGTACTATACCGCCTTCAACTTTTATGAACGACTGGGTGTTTAAGGTTAGCGATTTGTCGTATTATCTGGTTGTATAGCAAATGAAAAAATACGATTGCTTTACTATGCAAGTAAAAAAATGTGTGTTTTAATAATTAGGTGTTATTTTATTTTAGGGCCCCTTTATAACATATGCTACAGGCCCCGCACTAGCTTAATCCGGCACTGATAATAATGCGGATGTTGTCGATGATGATTTTTGTTATTGATGATGATGATGATAATAGCAACGCTACTCGCGGCGACCACGTTGTTGACGATGTTGTTGTTGTTGTTGTCGGTAATTATTCCGATGTTGACGTCGGCCATGAGTAACAGTGAGGGCCGTAAATGTTGTTGCTATTCACGGCGACGGCGTGGGTGATGTCAGTGACGGTGATGTCAAGCAGCGACGTTGCCGTTCGCCATGCTGCGAGCCTCCTTGATGCGCACGTGAAGATGTTGCTGTCGACCTCGATGCTCACGGTGTCGATGTGGGTGCCGTTGAGGAGGTTAGCGATGATGTGGCGTTGCAAGCGGTTTCAGTTTCAGTTTATTAGGTATAGCCCTCTTCTTGGTTCTTTCGGTAAAGTCACGTAGGAAGGGAAATAATAAAATAATGAAAATAAAAGAGAGAATTATTTTATTATGTTTTATTTTTATTATTTTATTATTTCCCTTCTACGTGACTTTACCAAAAGAACCGAGAAGATGAATCCCTGCAGTCACGAAAGCTTTAAATCGAAGGTATAGCCCTGTGAGCCATTCGGCTCTTGAATCGGGTGCAACCGCAACAAACAGAAAACATGAACAAAAAAACATCTTAAAGTGACTGCGCGCAACAGAAAAATCCAGGAAAAAACAGCAAAGTCTTCCAGGAAAAGCACCGTGTATCAATGCTGTGTGCAAAACAATAACAACAACCATAAGACAATTTAGATTAAAATGATCAGTCTAACTCTGTACTACAACAAACAAACATTGCTAAACCAAAACGTTTTCGAAATCACCCAGCGACTCGAGTTCCATTCGCGCTCACGGCCACCAACACCAGTGACGAAATCTGAACCGCTCCTGTGCCTCCTTTAGGTCGACTCAGCCTCGAATGAGTACCTGGTGCGGTGTGTAGTTAACAATCGCCACTGCGGTGAGACAAAGGCGGCCGGGCGTGGTGCTGGCCACCCACCCCGTCGTGTGCCGTGTCGGCCTTTAACGAACAGCACTTGCCCCCCCCCCCAACAGTCTGCGAAGGCTATACGGGGGATCTTTGTCTTTGCTCATGTCAATGGTGGTGTTCCTCAGGCCCACGGCGATGGGAAAGCAACGCCTGACGCTGGGACTCCGTCTCCCACGCTCCACTCCCCGCAGGAACAGCCTCTCGTCTTCCCTGGAGGCGCTCTCCCTCTACCTGCCCTGCCTCTCGCCTCCCGGCTCGCACCCCGGTGCGGGTGCGTGCATGCGTCTAGGTCGACTCAGCCTCGAATGGGTACCTGGTGCGGTGTGTTGTAAACATCGCCGCTGGGGTGAGACAAATGCGGCCGGGCGTGGTGTTGGCCACCCACCCCCTCGTGCTCCGTGCCGGCCCCTTCATAAGTGTTGCTCGCTAACAGCACTTGCCCCGACGGTCTGTGAAGGCTACCCGGGGTGCCTTTGTCTTTGTATGCGATGTTTGCCGAGTGAAGTGGGGAGCGGTGGTGTGGCGGTCAGCGCGCTGCGCTACGAACCCGGCAAACCCGAGTTCGATTCCCGCTCACGGCCCACCAATGCCAGCGACGATTCTCTGAACCGCCTAAAATGAGCACCCGGTGCGGTGTCGTTAACATGAGTACTGGAGAGACAAAGGCGGCCGGGCGTGGTGTTGGCCACCCAGCCCCCTCGTGCACCAGAGTGCGTGGCCTTCGTACAGTGAGGGAAACAAGTATTTGATCCCCTGCTGATTTTGTACGTTTGCCCACTGACAAAGAAATGATCAGTCTATAATTTTAATGGTAGGTTTATTTGAACAGTGAGAGACAGAATAACAACAACAAAATCCAGAAAAACGCATGTCAAAAATGTTATAAATTGATTTGCATTTTAACGAGGGATATAAGTATTTAACCCCTCTGCAAAACATGACTTAGTACTTGGTGACAAAACCCTTGTTGGCAATCACAGAGGTCAGACGTTTTTTGTAGTTGGCCACCAGGTTTGCACACATCTCAGGAGGGATTTTGTCCCACTCCTCTTTGCAGATCTCCAAGTCATTAAGGTTTCGAGGCTGACGTTTGGCAACTCGAACCTTCAGCTGCTCGGTAACAGCACTTGCCCCAACACTCTGTTGAAGGCTATACGGGGGATCTTTGTTTTGCTGGACACGCGTGTGTAGTAGGGTTAGGTGGCGGCTAACCACGTGACCTCTAGTCCATCACCGTGGAGGCAACAGCAAGGGATTGGTGGATAACACAGACATGTTGCGAAACTTCCCTTCCCCTGGGTGGGCGTCGAGGAGGAGCCGTACCCCATGGCTCTGCCAGGAGAAGGCGGCACAGCAAAGATGTGGGCTCCCATCTGTTCCGCCTGCACGGGGATAGAGCGTTTCCCCCTCGCGTGCGTGGGCTTTCTCTGGGCGCTCCGCTTTCCTGCCACGCGTAAACATTCATTATTGGCACCACGGTGGCAAGATGTTAACTACCTTGCCTGATTTAAATTTCGATTTAAAGCTTTCGTGACTGCAGGGATTCATCTTCTTGGTTCTTTCGGTAAAGTCACGTAGAATGGAAAGAATAAAATAATAAACATAAAACATAATAAAATAATTCTCACGACGTTTTGGCCACAACGCAAGCAGCCGGGTTCGATCCTGACCCTGACGCCTGCTGTATATTTTGAATTTGCATGTTCTCCCCAATAGCACATTCATATAAACAGTGGAGCGCAGAGCTTGGGCAATTGTTGGTAGCGCTGGCTTCTAATCACCGCGTGGCTGCTGTCGCTGCCTCCCCACTCGTCTGTGGTTCCTTCTCCTGGTGCCTCTGAGTCGTCCCCCCTCCTCTCTCTCTTTGAGTCGTCCCCTCTCTGAGTCATCCCCCCTCTGAGTCGTCCCCTCTGACTCGTCCCCTCTCTGAGTCGTCTCCTCTCTCTCTGAGCCGTCCCCCCTCACTCTCTCTGAGTCGTCCCCTCTCTGAGTCGTCCTCTCTCTCTCTCTGAGTCGTCCCCTCTCTCTCTGAGTCGTCCCCTCTCTCTCTGAGTCGTCCCCTCTATGAGTCGTCCCCTCTCTCTCTGAGTCGTCCTCTCTCTCTCTCTCTGAGCCGCCCCCCCTCTCTCTGAGTCGTCCCCTCTATGAGTCGTCCTCTCTCTCTCTCTGAGCCGTCCCCCCTCACTTTCTCTGAGTCGTCCTCTCTCTCTCTCTCTCTCTGAGTCGTCCCCTCTGAGTCGTCCCCTTTCTCTGAGTTATCCCCCCTCTGAGTCGTCCCCTCTATGAGTCGTACCCCCTCTCTCTGTCTGAGTCATCCTTTTCTCTGAGTTGTCCCCTCTATGTGTCGTCCCCTCTCTCTCTCTGAGTCGTCCCTGAGTCGTCCTCTCTCTGAGTCGCCCCCTCTCTCTATGACTCGTCCCCTCTCTCTGAGTCGTCCCTTCTCTCTCTCTGAGCCGTCCCCTCTATGAGTCGTCCCCCCTCTCCCTGAGTCGTCCTCTCCTATCTCTACGAGAGCGAGGAGCGGATATCGTGCAGCAGCGCAGCGTTACGAGTTGAGCTCATTATGATTACAGTATTATTGCCCTAACCCAGTTTCCTTCACTCATTTTCAGGGGGCGGGGGTGGTGGGACACTTTCGCCGATAAGACATAATCCGTTTTGAGGGCCTGGCACGCATTTGAATCCATTAGGGTGTTATATTTAAAAAAAAACGTTAAAATTAAAACACATACATGTTTTACTTGCATAGTAAAGTAATTGTATTTTTTTCATTTGCTATACAACCGGATAATACGACAAATCGCAAACCTTAAACACCCAGTCGTTCACACAAGTTGAAGGCGGTATAGTACTATAGTAATAGAGCAAGTACAGAATCACTGAACCGGAATTGATAGCTTCAAAGCATTTAGCGCGGGGCCCTTTAAAGTGCGGGCCCCGTAGCTACTACATGTAGTAGCTACTACATATGAAGTAGCTACTATCTTCTTGGTTCTTTCGGTAAAGTCACGTGGAAGGGAAATAATAAAAAGAATAAAAAGAAAACATAATTAAATGTTTGATTTTAATTTTTATTATTTTATTATGTTTTATTTTTATTATTTTATTATTTCCCTTCTACGTGACTTTACCGAAAGAACCAAGACGATTAATCACTGCAGTCACGAAAGCTTTAAATCGAAATTTAGTAGTTACTACTTGTGCTGCTAGGATAAACCGGCACTGACGTCATGGGGTCGCACTAAAGGCCATTAAGGGGCCGCCATTGGCCAGCGGGGAGGGCCTTGCAATGACGAAACGCTGCCAACTAAAACCGTGGCGAATCACGGCTGCAACGGCCACCTCCTCGCGACGCGCACGGGGCGAGCCGTGGGGATAGGGAGCCTCAGGACATCGGTGAGCGCGCGTGTCCCACCAACCCCTCGAAGCCGCTGCATCCGCTACCGCTGTGTTGCAGGCGGCCACGTGTAGCATCGCCCCCCCCCCCCCCCCCCAGCTGCGCGTCGTGGGCCACACGGGGAGATCTTTAAAACTCGACTAATTTTTATTATACCAGGTAAGGCCCACTGAGCTATGTAGCTTTTTAAATTTTCGGACGTGACCTGGCCGCCACAAATGACAGCTCAACGTGGAAATGTTTTTGCGGGAGCCGAATACTCCGAAGAAAAGGCATGATGTTCATTCTAAATGTGGAGGGGAAAACCCGGAGGACCCGATGAAAAATTCACGCGACCACGGGGAGAGAAAGAGAGAGAGACACACTGCAAACTCTAAATATACAGCAGCAGCAGGTGTCAGGGTCGGGATCGAACCCACGACCTCCTGCATACCAGCCGAGGGAGTTAACATCTCATAGCCACCGTGATGATGATGATGAGAGAGAGACACGCAAACTCTAAACATACAGCAGCAGGTGTCAGGGTCGGGATCGAACCCACCACCTCCTGCATACCAGGCGAGGGAGTTAACATCTCATAGCCACCGTGGCACCCAAAGGTCAGGAGATGGCAGCACCGTTACCCAAAAGTAAGGGGTGCCATGGTGGCTAGGAGATGTTAACTACCTCGCCTGGTATGCATGAGGTCATGGGGTAGATCCCGACCCTGACGCCTGCTGCTGTATATTAGTAATTTGCGGTGTCTCTCTCTCTCATCATCATCACGGTGGCTAGGAGATGTTAACTACCTCGCCTGGTACACAGGAGGTCATGTGTTAGATCCCGACCCTGACGCCTGCTGCTGTATATTTGGAATCTGCGGTATCCCTTTCTCTCTCTCCCCGTGGTCGCGTGGATTCTTCTCCGGGTCCTCCGGTGTTTTCCCCTGCACATTTAGAATCAACGTCGCGCGTTTAGAGTATTTGGGCTGCTGTACATTTCCACACACTGATGACCAGCAACTTCGCTGAGCTGTCGTTTGTGATGGCCAGGCCGCTTCTGAAGAAGAGCCACATAGCTCAGTGGGGCCTTACCTGGTAACATAGAATTTTTTTTAATTATGAATACTTTTTGTCTGTCCCCCCCCCCCCATGCCCCCCAATTTACCCCCTCCCAATGCCCTCCTCCCAATGCCCCCCATGCTCTCCCCACAATGCCCCCCATGCCCTCCCTCCAATGCCCCCCATGCCCCCCAATTTACCCCCTCCCATGCCCTCTCCCCATGCCCTCCCCCCATGCCCTCCCCACAATGCCCCCTCCCCCAGGTGTGCGTCGGCACAGCACGGTGCGGCGCAGCACGGAGACGGGTTTGGCCGCGGAGCCCCCCACGCGCTCCCCGCGGGGGGGGGCGCCCCCCCCTGCCGGCCTCTCCCCCCGGCCCACCCCCACCCCGCACCCCCGCGCCTCCGTCTCCAGCCGAGCTCACAGCCTGCCCTGCGAGTCCACTCTGTACGCGGGCCACAGCACGGGGGGGAGGGAGGGGGGCACGTGGGGCACGGGGGGGGGGGGCAGCACGTGGGGCACGGGGGGGGGGCAGCACGTGGAGAGAAGCACACGGGGCAGCACGCGAGTGGGGGGGGGGGGTGAGCACAGAGCAGCAGAGGAAGATCGGGGGCAGCGTGGGGGCAGTACACAGAGCAACAGCTGAGGCATGGGGAAAGCAGAGGAAGGTCTGGGCAGCATGGGGCAGTGGGGGCAGCAGGAGCAATGCAGCAGGAGCAGCTGTAAGGTGGGCATAGTGTTAGGGTGAGTTTAGTAGGGAGCACAGAACAGGGCAGGGTTGAGTGGTTAAAGGTAAGGGTGGCTAGGCCGTAGCTAGTTGACGCAGGGCGCTGTACCCCCCCAATAGTAATTGTTGTGGTTGTTGTGGTTGTGGCAGGGCGCTGTACCCCCCCAATAGTAATTGTTGTGGTGGTTGTTGTGGTTGTGGCAGGGCGCTGTACCCCCCAATAGTAATTGTTGTGGTTGTTGTGGTTGTGGTAGGGCGCTGTGCCCCCCCAATAGTAATTGTTGTGGTTGTTGTGGTTGTGGCAGGGCGCTGTACCCCCCAATAGTAATTGTTGTGGTTGTTGTGGTTGTGGTAGGGCGCTGTGCCCCCCCAATAGTAATTGTTGTGGTTGTTGTGGTTGTGGTAGGGCACTGTACCCCCCCAATAGTAATTGTTGTGGTTGTTGTGGTTGTGGCAGGGCACTGTACCCCCCCAATAGTAATTGTTGTGGTGGTTGTTGTGGTTGTGGCAGGGCACTGTACCCCACAATAGTAATTGTTGTGGTGGTTGTTGTGGTTGTGGCAGGGCGCTGTACCCCCCAATAGTAATTGTTGTGGTTGTTGTGGTTGTGGCAGGGCACTGTACCCCCCAATATTAATTGTTGTGGTTGTTGTGGTTGTGGCAGGGCGCTGTATCCCCCAATAGTAATTGTTGTGGTTGTGGCAGGGCGTTGTGCCCCCAATAGTAATTGTTGTGGTGGTTGTGGTGGTTGTTGTGGTTGTGATAGGGACCTGTACCCCCCAATAGTAATTGTTGTTGTGGTTGTTGTGGTGGTTGTTGTGGTTGTGGCAGGGCGTTGTGCCCCCCAATAGTAATTGTTGTGGTGGTTGTTGTTGTGGTTGTGGCAGGGCGCTGTACCCTCCAATAGTAATTGTTGTGGTTGTTGTGGTGGTTGTGGTTGTGGTTGTTGTGGTTGTGGCAGGGCGCTGTACCCCACAATAGTAATTGTTGTGGTGGTTGTTGTGGTTGTGGCAGGGCGCTGTACCCCCAGGTGAGGCTGCACTCCCACGCTGAGCTGAGCGGCTTTCTGGACGGACTGGGGCCGGGCCAAGTGGCAGGGAGACAGAGCCTGGCCACCCTCTCCCTCGGTACGGCAACCACCAACAACAACAACAACACCACCACCAACAACACCACCAATACTAATACCAACACCACCACCAACAACACCACCACCACCACCAACAACAACACCAATACTAATGCCAACACCACCACCACCAACAACAACACCAATACTAATACCAATACCACCACCAACAACACCACCTCCAATACTAATACCAAAACCACCAACAACACCACTATCAATACTACCAATAGCACCACTGCCAATGCCACAACCACCATCACCACCAAAAATTACACCACTGCCACCAACACCACTATCACCATCAACAACAACACCACCACCAACAACAACACTACTAATACCGCCAACACGACCATCCAATACTAATAACAACACCACCACCAATACTAATACCAACACTACCACCAACAACACCACCACCAATACTAATACCAACACCACCAACAAGACCACAACCAACACCACTATCAATACCACCAAGAGCACCACTGCCAATGCCACAACCACCATCACCACCGACAATAACACCACCAACACCACTATCACCACTATCACCACCACCAATACCACCACCAACAACACCCCCAATACCACCAACACCACCATCACCACCATCACCACCACCAAAATTAGCACAACACCAACAACAAGTACAATAATATCACCACTAACGCAACACTACCACCGTGCGCAATGAATGGGGTGTGTACGTGGTGGTATGTGAATGTGCTGTGTGTGCTGTGTTGGTGTGTGCTGTGTCTTGGTGTGTGCTGTCTTGGTGTGTGTTGTGTGTGGTGGTGGTGTGTGCTGTGTGTGGTGGTGGTATGTGTGGTGGTGGTGTGTGCTGTGTGTGGTGGTGCTGTGTGTGGTGGTGGTATGTGTGGTGGTGGTGTGTGCTGTGTATTGGTCAGTCCCTCCAGAAAAACGCGATTATGCGATCGCAAGATTCCACGCAAAATCAGCCAAAGTTCGCATATTTATGCGGGGGGCGCGTTTTTTCAAATACGCCGCACTTTCGCCGCATAAATTGCAGATTTCCGCGCGCAAAATATGCGGGCTTGCATGATTTCATAATCCCCGCATTTTCGTTGCAAAAAGTCACATATATCTTAGCAGAAAGTTGAAAAATGTTGCGTTTACTTCACACAAGCGCAGCCATTTCCCCTGTTGCCATGGGAACGTTATGAAGTGTTAGAGGCTACGTAGTTAGTTTTATTTAGGAGTTTATGCAACTTTACAGTTGTAAGATTGCACTTTTTTGTTAGTAGTATGTAAATTTACATTACTGTAAGACTGTACTGTTACTGTATTGCTTACGTTACTGTGCACTGAAAACACTTATTTTAACAGAAGATGTCTGTTTTGTATAGCTACCTCTGTAAAACAGGAAGCACACATTTTATTTTTTTATATTTTATTTATTCATTTTTACAGAAGTTGTAGCATATTCATTTTGTAAAGCTACAGAACTTGTTCGACTCAATGTTTTGTAAGTTTGAGCCATCTGGTTGTTAAGGTCTGAAATAAAACAAGATGAGAACTTAAATATTCCCAGCACTTGCTGTGATGTAGTATGCTTGCTTATCATAGGAAGTAATAAGAAATGACTCTTTACATTAAAATAGTAGCCTAGTGAATAGGGTGTTGGGGGAATCACTTTTTTTTCTCTTTTTCATCAAACCGCAGTTTTTGCAAGTTCCCGCAATTTAATCGCATAAAATTGAATAAATATCCCGCATATTCCATCGCATTTTTTAAGAAAACGTGCCACATAATCAACGATTTTTGCCCGCAACAATCACCAAAAAACTCCGCGTTTTTCTGGAGGGACTGATTGGTGTGTGCTGTGTGTGGTGATGACCCGAGTGTGTGTATGTGGTGGTGTATGTGGTGTGTGTTGGTGTGTGCTGTGTGTGGTGGTGCTGTGTGTGGTGGTGTGTGCTGTGTGTGGTGGTGGTGTGTGCCGTGTGTGGTGATGACCAGAGCGTGTGTATGTGGTGGTGGTGTATGTACTGTGTGTGGTGGTGGTGTGTGTTTGTGGTGTGTGCTGCGTGTTGTTGTGTGTGGTGGTGGTGGTGGTGTGTGTGCTGCGTGTTGGTGTGTATGGTGGTGGTGCTGTGTGTTGGTGGTGACCGGAGTGTGTGTATGTGGTGGTGGTGTATGTACTGTGTGTGGTGGTGGTGTGTGTTGGTGGTGTGTGCTGAGTGTTGTTGTGTGTGGTGGTGGTGGTGTGTGTGCTGCGTGTTGGTGTGTGTGGTGGTGGTGCTGTGTGTTGGTGGTGACCGGAGTGTGTGTATGTGGTGGTGGTGTGTGTGCTGTGTGTGGTGGTGGTGTGTGTACTGTGTGTGGTGGTGGTGTGTGTGGTGGTGTGTGTGATTGTGTGTGGTGTATGTGGTGGTGGTGTATGTGGTGTGCGTAGGGGACGTGGAGCTGGGCGTCTCTCTGAAGGACGAGGGCCTCACTGTGGATCTGCTGCGAGCCCGCAACCTCGTTCCGAAACCCGGAGCCAAGACACTGCCACGTGAGAGCCACAACCACGACCACGCCACAACCATGCCACAATCACGCCACAACCACAACCACACCACAACCACGACCACGCCACAACCATGCCACAACCACGCCACAACCACAACCACACCACAACCACGACCACACCACAACCATGCCACAACCACGCCACAACCACAACCACGCTACAACCACAACCATGCCACAACCACACCACAACCATGCCACAACCACGCCACAACCATGCCACAACCATGCCACAACCACACCACAACCATGCCACAACCACGCCACAACCACAACCACCCCACAACCATGCCACAACCATGCCACAACCAATGCCACAATCACCCGACAAGCATGCCATGCCACACCACAACCACACCACAACCATGCCACAACCATGCCACAACCACAACCACACCACAACCATGCCACAACCACTCCACAACCAATGCCACAATCACCCGACAAGCATGCCATGCCACACCACTCCACAACCATGCCACAACCATGCCACAACCACACCACAACCATGCCACAACCACTCCACAACCAATGCCACAATCACCCAACAAGCATGTCATGCCACACCACACCACAACCACCTCGCAACCAAAGCACAACCACGTTATGGCACACCACGCCACAACCACGCCACAACCACACCACAACCACGCCACATCCATAGCAGAGCACAACAACCCCACAACAAACCCACACACCAGCACAACCACATCACAACCACAGCACGCCACAACCAAACCACAACCAAACCCACACCACACTACAACCACGCCATAACCACACCACAACCACCCCACACAACAGCACAACCACACCACAACCATAGCACGCCACAACCAAACCACAACCAAACCCACACCACACTACCACGCCACAACCACCCCACAACCAACCCACACAACAGCACAACCACACCACAACCACAGCATGCCACAACCAAACCACAACCAAACCCACACCACGCCACAACCACCCCACAACCAAGCCACAACCACGCCACAACAGATGAAGCGATGAAACGGAGACTGTGTGTGTGTGTGGAACTCTGTGTGTGTGTGTTTGATTGTTCAGCGCTTACAGCGCTGCGCTATGAACCCAGCAACCCGAGTTCGATTCCCACTCACGGCCAATATCAGTGTGAACATCACACGAGGTACTCATTGGTGATACAGTAAAGTCAGCCGGGCGTAGTGCTGGCCACCCCCTTGTGTGCCATGGCGGCCTTCATCAACGCTGCTCGCTCACACACCCCCATCGGTGCGTGGAGGCTACCCGGGGGATCTTTGCCTGTGCCTGTGTCCTCACTTGCCCCGGTCGGTGTGTGGAGGCTACGCTGGGGATCTTTGCCTGTTCATAATCAACGTACTGATTGGCCGTGTCGGGTGGTGGAGGGTTACGACACATTTATAAATAAACGCGATCTAAACCCAAAAACGTTGATTATGAATAACATTGGTCGCGAAAGCCTACGTGTTAAACTGATCTTTGCCTGTGTCTGTGTGTGGCAGTGCTCACGGTGAAGGTGTACCTGCTGTGCGGGGGGGCGTGCGTGGACAAGCGCAAGGTGCGTGCCGCGCAGCGCTCGCTCGAGCCGGACTTCCACCACAAGCTGACCTTCGACGAGACCCCGCGCGGGAAGGTCCTCCAGGTGAGGTCGCACTCACCACCAGCGGCCACGCTCACCACACTCACCACACTCGCCACGCTCAACACACTCACCACGCTCACCACACTCACCACACTCACCACGCTCACCACACTCACCACACTCACCACGCTCACCACACTCACCACACTCACCACGCTCACCACACTCACCACACTCACCACGCTCACCACACTCACCACACTCGCCACGCTCAACACACTCACCACGCTCACCACACTCATCACACTCACCACGCTCACCACACTCACCACACTCACCACGCTCACCACACTCACCACACTCACCACGCTCACCACGCTCACCACACTCGCCACGCTCAACACACTCACCACGCTCACCACACTCGCCACGCTCACCACACTCGCCACACTCACCACGCTCACCACGCTCACCACACTCGCCACGCTCACCACCCTCAACACACTCACCACAATCAACACACTCACCACGCTCACCACACTCATCACGCTAACCACAGTCCCCGGCTCGCCACACTCGCTACGCTCAACACACTCACCACGCTCACCACGCTCAACACACTCACCACGCTCACCACACTCGCCACGCTCAACACACTCACCACACTCACCACACTCACCACGCTCAACACACTCACCATGCTCACCACGCTCAACACACTCGCCACGCTCAACACACTCGCCACGCTCGCCGCACTCACCACGTTCGCCGCACTCGCCACTCGCCAACTCACCACACTCGCGACACTCCCCGACTCACCACGCTCGCCAGACTGGCCAGGGCGAGCTCACAACAACGGCGGCAGCAACAAGAAAAGCCGCAGTTCGCCACCAAGTGCAGATGGCGTACCCACCACGGCGCCTGCGCCAGGCTAGGTGCACTTTGAGGCCACGTGACGTGTGGGCTCTTTGCTGGCAGGAGGTCATGGTGCAGACCCAGGTGCTGTGAGTTGACCGACCGAGACGACCGTTTTATCCGCCCGGCGCTCCGCTCATTGTTGTGAGCGTGGCTCCGTTGTTGCCGTAGGGGGGTAGGGGGTGGCTGCTGCCTCCAACTGCCCAGTGGCTCCCTCCCAGTGGCTCCCTCCCAGTGGCTCCCTCCCAGTGGCTCCCTCCCAGTGGCTCCCTCCCTCCCAGGTGGTGCTGTGGGGCGACTACAGCCGGCGCGACAGCAAGTCCTTCATGGGGCTGGCTCAGATCGCTCTGGACGAGCTGGGCCTGCACCCTGCCTCCTCGACCGGCGACGAAGACGAAGAGGAGGGCGGCGGCGGTGGCGGCGGCGCCAACAACAACAACAACAGCAGCGGTGCCAACGCCGGCGACGCCGGCGACTCCGGGGGCACGGACGCCGCGGCCGCCGGTGCTACCGGTGCCGCCGGCGCCCCCCCCGTCTCGACCGTCGCTGCCGCCGAGTGCCACGCCCCGGCGTGGTACCGGCTGTTCCCGCGCGGCGCCGGCGCCCTGCTGGCGGGGCGGCCCACGGCGCGCGCCATCTCCGAGTCGTCGCTGGAGAGCGCGTCGGCGCTCGACCCCAGCTCGCCGGGCTACGAGTCGCTCTCGCCGGGCGTGGAGTCGCTCTCGCCGAGCCCCTTCGGCTCGCGCTCGCTCATCACGCCGAGCCCCAGCTTCGAGGGCCACGCGGCCGGAGGGGCCGCGGCGGCGGCGGCGCCGATGGCCGGCGCGAGTTCGCTGGAGCGGCCGCTGAGTTACGGCGAGGTGAGAGGAGAAGCGTCGTGAAGGGGGCCGAGAGGCCCGAGGGAGGCGACGATGCTGCTGCTGCTGCGTCGCGCCGTGAGGGAGACGCTGCCACGGGAGACGGAGGGAGCAGGGGGGGGCAGGGGGGGAGGTGCGTGGGAGAGCGAGTCTCTGATACTGATGTTCCACAGTTTTTATTAATTTTTATTACGATCGTAGGGGAGATTTTTTTGTCCCGAGGTTGTTGCGTTTCCGCCCATTCGCTGCCCTATTCACTATTTTGCGTCGGTAGCCCCCAGCTCATGGAATACGGAGGGGGAAGCCCCTTGGTTGGTGTCTGTGGAGTGTTCGGGATAGAGCTTAGCGCTAGCTGTTGTTACTCTGGAGGGTTAGCGTTAGGGTTTTGAGTTAAGGCTGATGGGGTATAGGGGTTAGGCTGCAGCGTTAGGGTTACTAATTAATTAGAGCTTAGCGGTTAGGGTTAAGGATTAGTGTTAGGAACCACCCCTCGCAGCAGGAACCACCTATTTGTTCTAGATTCAACGACTAATGCCAGCAGACTCGTTTCTGAGATCAGAGGCAATACACGGGCCACAAGACTTCCCCAACACGATCTTCTAAGATGATCATTACCGTCAAAATGACCCCCTCCACCCCCGTCGCCCAATTCGCCGAACGTCGTTGCGTTGTCGGGGGCGGACGTTGAGCGAGCGAGAAGCGAGGTCAGAACGGACGCGAGAGGGAGTGGAGGACGAGACGGTGGTGGTCGCGGTGGTGGCGGCGGTGGCGGCAGTGGTGCGGTTAAAATCTGCGATGTGCACCTCCCGTCATCGTCGTCGTCGTCAGCTGCTGCTGCTGCTGCTGCTCCGCTATCCTGATCAGGGCCGTCCAGACAGGTTGGGGGTGTAGGGGGCGGTGGCGGTAAGCAAAGCGCCACTTGGCACCGGACCTCACACGAAAGAGGGGACCCCCGCGGCACTGATGCCGATTGATCTTTACAAAAGAATAATAATAATTAAGAATCTTACCGAAGCATTCATTATTTATTAATATCCGTCCAACAAAAAAGGGCTGTCCCGTCGCGGTCTTCGCGCTCCGGCCAGCCAGCCAGCGAGCCATTGGAACTTTGCGCAACACGGACAACGCCACGGGTGACAACGCCGACCGCCTGTGGCGGCTCTGCATTTAAAGAACGGAGCGCTCTGAACGTCGGGGATCCAGGGCTCCGTCGGGCGCACGGCAGAGGTCGCAAACGGGTTTTGATTCCTTACCCGTACCCGTACCCGGCCGCACCAGGGTCGCAAACGGGTACCCGTTCCCTACCCGTACTCGTACCCTACCCGAAATGAGTGACAAACGGTTACTCACCAGTGACTCACAGCCTACCCGTACCCGGCCGCACCAGGGTCGCAAACGGGTACCCGTACCCGGCCGGGTACGGGTAGCCGGGTATCGGGTAGGGTACGGGTATCGGGTACCCGGTTGCGACCTCTGGCTGCTGCGCGTCGCGACGCTTCCGGCCGTGCGCCAAAGCCTCTGGCCAAGCGTGGCACGCAAGTCGGACGCTTCTCGATTTTAAAGTTTCCCGTCACGGTTCTTGGGTGGGCTCCGGGGGAGGTGGGGGGGGTCGTAGGTTCCGAGCCGGCGCCGCCAAACTCCTGGGTTCGAATCTGGGGGTCCAGCCGCAGCGATGGAGCCGAGGACTCGAGTCGTACCGACGTCGACGATCTCAGCCCGGTCACCCGAAGACCGCCGAAACAAAAAACCACTCGCTCGCATTCGATTTAACGGAAAGTTTGAGCTTCCTTTGGCTAAATCAGAAATCCGAGAATTGAAAAAAATATCTTTCGATTTAAAGCTTTCGTGACTGCAGGGATTCATCGTCTTGGTTCTTTCGGGAAAGTCACGTAGAAGGGAAATAATAACATAAAATAAAAAAGTTTTATTATGTATTTATTTATTTTATTTATTCCCTTCTACGTGACTTTACCGAAAGAACCAAGAAGATGAAAAAAGATCGATCGGTTCAACTGCCGTGCGACGAGCATTTCCATCCGCGGCAGAACGAGCGCCGCCCCATCGTGCACACGCGTGCGTGCGGATGAAAACAGGCACACCATTGGAACCTCATTTGCCAGTAAAAAATATGATTATTGTTTTTTTACCCTCTTATCTGGCAACAAAACTGACACCTTTTTTACGAGGAGTCATGTTTGCATAGACCACAATACCTGGAGTCATAATGCAAACAAAAAACATAACTCTGATAATGCATGCACTGTCCTTGAAGTTGAATGGTCCACACCCGAGACAGCTTTCCTTAGAGCCTAGTCTCACATGGGTTGGACCAGATGACGCCAAAAGGCGCACAACTCAAAGACGATGCACCATCAGAGTATGAGAGCTCGGGGTAAGCATATACACCATTGGCACATTTGAAGGGATCTCAGAAGTAGCTCTGCCATGTCCGCTTCGGCGGGGTCGTTCCCTAACACGTGGGGTGACGCAACTCCGCTCTGCGAGAGTTCCGAATTGGTTCCCTCCCGGTTCATAGCACAATGGCGAGAGCACAATCAGAAAGTGTCAAATGCAGCTGAATCCCTCTCAACGACGGTGATTGGTTCCACGGAACCGGTCGTCAAGTGATTTGGTCGTTAAGCGAGTACAGGAAATGCACGTTAAAGGTTTCATGAGTTCCGATAGCATCGAAAATTGCCATCTTTGACCCGATAAAACGTACTTTATCATATTTAAATACTGGCTATTCATACATAAAGATACCAACAACAGTATAAACACACAATAATATTAAAATAAACAGTTAATTAATCCATTAATTATTATTTACTGTAGCTACAACAGCTTGTCGTTAACAGGGGAATGGTCGGTAAGCGAACACATTGGGCTCTATGGAGGCACTACACTACTTTACACTACACTATACACTACACTACTATAAACTACACTATACACTACACTATACACTACACATTGGGCTCTATGGAGGCACTACACTACTTTACACTACACTATACACTACACTACTTTACACTACACTATACACTACTATACACTTCACTACTATACACTACCATTCACTATACAACTATACACTACACTACTATACACTACAAATTGGACTCTATGGAGGCCCAAGAACCAAGAATATGAATCCCTGCAGTCACGAAAGCTTTAAATAAAAAAATACACAATTATATTTACGCGATCTAACCCCCAAAACATCGTTACGAATCGGAACTAACTTGGGAGTGGTGGGGGGGAAAGGCCACGACACTTAAGAAAAAAGCGAACACGACGACAGGTCGATTACTCGATGGCGCGGGGTGTGTGACGTCACAGTGCGTAGCGTTTCCGTGGCGACCCCTCCATTGATGTCGCCAACGGTATCGGGGTCGCGACTTCACGGAAAACCTTTAGGAACGCCCGAGTTAACGGTGGAGGTGGTGATCAATCAGCCGGACTTGCTTCAACTCCTGCGTGTATATATGTCGGCTAGAAAGCTGGACGAAAAAAAAAATGTATGCTTACAAAGTCGGGCGAGCGCAGCCTGGCTGTCGCCTGGGTACATTTCTCCACGTGGACTCGAGACATCGAACTCCCTTTCCTCTCTCGCTCCATCCCTGGCTCCGTCTCTTCCCCGTCTCTCCCTCTCCGCGCGCTCTCCCACCCCGACTCCTCTACGTGTGTACGCGTGCGTTTTTGTATGGAGTCCTGTTTTGCACATTTTCTTACGTTTTTTTCTAGTATTTTGTAACCGTGAGCCGCAGAACTGCGTGTGTGTGCGTTTGTGTCTTTGTGCTACGGTGTGTAAGTGTGCTTGTGTGGGGTGTGGGGAGCGGTGGCGTAGCGGTGAGCGCGCTGCGCTACGAATCCGGCGACCCGAGTTAGAGTCCCCCTTCGCGGCCACCAACACCCGGTGACGATTATCTGAACTGGTCCTGGGCCCCCTCTAGGTCGACTCAGCCTCAAACGAGTACCTGGTGCGATGTGTAAACATCGCCACGGGGGAGACGAAGGCGACCGGGCATGCTGCTGGCCACACCACCCGCTCGTGTGCCGTGTCGGACTTCATCGGTGCTACTCGCCAACAACACTGGCCCCCAAAAGTCTACGAAACCTATACGGGAGGTGGATGTGGTGCGTATGTTCGCGAACATCACTTACTTAGGCCACCAGGCGACTGCGATCATCCACGCGGGTGGCTCTCAATGGGCTCCACCGCGATGCACCGCCAGAAAGCTGTGGTCAACAATCGCCCCGGGTGGATAGATGTTTTGTTAAGAGACAGAAAACGTAATCATATCTGAAATTTACTAATAGGGTTTTTCCCCTTTTTTCTGGCAACAAAACTGACACCTTTTGCAAGGAATCAAAAGGTGTCAGTTTTGTTGCCAGAAAAAAGGGGAAAAACCCTATTAGTATATTTTGGTACTGGCTTAGGAGGTCCCATGATAATATCTGAAATTTGTTTAAACTTAAAATCCACGGTCTGCTACCGTGATATTTAAAACAACCGCCTCATGACGGAGTGGCAGCTGAGGTAGGGAGCCAGACGGGGGTGTTGGGGGGGATGACTATGGCGGACAATCACCGCTGCGGTATTGTTGAGAGGTGGTGGTGATGTGGGGGGAGGGGGGGGGCGCCTTCGTCCAGCAGTGGATTGACCATGGCCGACGATAAAAAAACGATTAACTGATGAGTATCGATCCGAGAGGCGGTGATTCGGCCGCATCGTTCCTGTCCGTGCGCGTCGAGGGCTCGTGGGTTGGCACGTGGCACCTGCGGCCACTAGAGGCGGCCATATTGGCCGCATACACAAAATGATGGATTTCTTCAATGGAACTGCGATGATTCGGGGGCGGTCAGGGTCACATTACAAATTCAGTATTATTTTTCACTCCGTTTACTGTAATGAGATTACAAAAATGGGCTCCTGTGTTCCAGTATTATCAGTCCAACTTTTTCAACGTGTAATGAGATTACAGTTTCTTAGCATCTGCCGGTGAATTACTGTCTTGGGATTATTTTCACTTGCGGGGATCTTGTTGTTGTTGTTAATGATGAATCTATTAGAAGAACAGACAAAATCTGAGTTTGCAGCCTGGGTAAATGAGGGTACCAGGTGCAAATACAAGCGTTGGCATGTTTACCGAATCAGAAACTTTACGTAGACTGGTAGAGAAATCTGATGAGCTATGAAGCTTTTTTTGTTTTGTTACACACAGATGTCCAGTGTGGGTGGGTCAGCAAGTTGAGCAGTGGTGGTCAGAGCAGTCGATGTTGATACGAAGCAAAAGTAATCATAAAATAGTCATCCGATTACCTTGCTTTTTAAATCCTTTATATTAAGTTCACTTGCTTGCTTGCTTGCGCGCTTACGACTGTGCAAATCTTTCGGTCGTTTTTTAACCCACTTCTCGTGATCCAATCGAGCTGATATTTTGCACACAGACTCGTTGTGCGTGACAATTAATTTTCGTGAAATTTTTTTCTCCAAATTTGTACACTTTTTAGGAAAAATAAAATTATATTTAATTACCAATTTCTTAATGGTGGCAGGCAATCATCTGACCCATAGGTGGCAGCCATCTCAAGCCAGAGGACGAGAGGACTCTAGCCGCCACGCATATAAAGGATTTATAGTGAAAAACTTTGTTTTTAAAGTCCCGATCCGCAGGATTACAATGCGCTATTGGCTACACGGCCTGCAGTCACAGCACAGCGCAGCGCCGCTTGTCAACGCAATGTGAGGTCGTACAGCCGCACTAAGCACTCTTGGGTGACCTTTGTATATTGGTATGCACGTGTCTGTTTGTATGGTGGTGGTGGTGATGATGATGATATCAGCCACGATGAGCCGGCTGATGTCGTGTGATAGACGAGTGGGATCTGTAAAAACGGCAATAGCTCAGTGGGATTTACCTGGTTAAGTAAGATAGTTGAGTTAAATATCAATCATAACTGGTGGTGGTTTAACGCGTATTAAACAAGGGTCAGTGTGATGGAATCGGTCCACCGGCCTCCAAAGACAAAGCTCCCCCGTGTAGCCTTAACAGACCGTCGGGGGCAAGTGCTCTTCGCGAGTAGCAACCGGATGAAGTCCCGGAATGGAACAACGTCGGGGTGGGTGGCCAGGACCACACCCGACCGCCTTTGTATCCCCGGTGTTCAATGTTTTTTTTACCACACCGCACCGGCTACTCATTTGAGGCCTGACTCGACCTAGGGGCAGGCCCAGGGCCGGGTCAGATAATCGTCGACGGTGTTGGCCTTGAGCGGGAATCGAACTCGGGTCCGCCGGGTTCGTAGCGCTGCTCAGCGGCCCCACCACAGAGAGCCTCCCCCCCCCGACCCCCCACGGCACCGGCCTATCCGCTGTAGAATTTAGAAACGCGCCTCTGCATCGCGTCTCCGGGCTACTGTAGATGGTAGAGCGGATGGGTAGCATCATCGTCCGTCAGGTCCGACAAGACGAATTCTAGTCAAGTTCGTTCATTGCGTTTCTTTGAGCCAACTGGGCGGGATCGCGCCAAAACTTCGCCCCGCTTTTCACCCAGGCAACTGGAGAGCGCGCAGCGGCGGCGGTGGCGGTACCACCAACAACGGACTAAGGCAACAAAACCCTCGGCTCAAAGCGTCCACGTTGCTCACCGCATGCGCGCACGGCACCGCGAGCTTTCGAACGACTCGGGATGTTCGTCGGTATCGCCTGGACCAGCGGAGCTTTCTTCTTACTCAGGGGTTGCTCGCACCGCAGGGGTTGCTCGCTGCACCCTGGGGGTGTGAGATGCCCTTTCTGGGGGATGTGCGAGACATGGCCATATTTTTAAAAAATATATATATAATTCTAGATTTGAAGCTTTCGTGACTGCAAGGATTAGTGCTCTTAGTTTTTTCGGTAAAGTCACGTGGGTAAAAAATGAAATTAAAATTAATACAAATAAAATAATAAAAATCACGACGTTTCGGAGGCAACACAAGTCTCCGTCATCAGGTGGGACCGTCACAGCCAGATTTGCTGTATCAAGTGAGGCAGAGATTCCAAGATGCAAGTTCTTAAATATATATAAGAAGGAAAATTATGGAAAACACAAATTAAGCACGGGGCACGCTAAGTAACAACTCACTTTGTTTCGATTTAAAGCTTTCGTGACTGCAGGGATTCATATTCTTGGTTCTTTCGGTAAAGTCACGTAGAAGGGAAATAACAAAATAATACAAATATAAAACGTCGTGAGAATTTTATTGTTTTATTTTTTATTATTGTTATTTCCCTTCTACGTGACTTTACCGAAAGAACCAAGAATATGAATATTACTTTGTTTCATCAACCCTTTATTAACATTGTACTTTTTTTGACCATTGAGAACCAAAAGGGATGCAAGGCTGCAGGAAGGGTGAAGAGCCAACGATCTGGACAAATGTACAAACACACGTACCCAGTGCCAGTATTAAGCGAGTGCTGGGCCTGTAGCATATGTTATAAAGGGGTCCTAAATTTGAAACAAAAACAAATATTAAAACACAACTTTGTTTTACTTGCCTAGTAAAGTAATTGTATGACATAATTTGCTATACAGCCAGATGATACGACAAATCGCTAACCTTAAACACTCAGTCGTTCATAAAAGTTGAAGGCGGTATAGTACTATAGTAATAGAGCTAGTGCAGAATCTCTGAACCGGAATTGATTGCTTGAAAGCATTTAGCGCGGGGCCCTTGAAAGTGCGGGGCCTGTAGCATATGTAGCAGCTACTACAGATGTAGTAGATGTAGTAGCTACCACATATGTAGCTACTACATATGTAGTACATATGTAGTAGCTACACATGTAGTAGCTACTACAGATGTACTACAGATGTACTACACATGTAGTAGCTACTACATATGTAGCTACTACATGTAGTAGCTACACATGTAGTAGCTACTACAGATGTACTACAGATGTAGTAGCTACTACATATGTAGCTACATATACACAGATGTACTACAGATGTAGTAGCTACTACATCTGTAGCTACATATACACATGTAGTAGCTAATAC